TATATATATATATATATATATATATATATATATATACATATATATATCGCCGAATCGACGACTTTCCCGCGACAAATAGGTACAAGAGCGGTCATTAATGATCAGACCTTTTCCACGTACACGTTCACACACACGTACATATACCGTGTCGCCCACGACGGAAAGTTTTCGTCGACTCGGGAGTGAATATTGCGAAACACACGTCGTTATCGCGCCCCGTTGACGCGCGCGATCGAAATAAGATCGTCGATCCCCCTCGTCCCGAAAACGGAGCGCTGAATTACTTTCCAGCGTGACGCATTGATCGGCGTCATAATTAAACAGCTGCAAAAAGCGCGTGAATGAACTCGCGCGCTCCGGAAAAACCGACGAGACCGAGCTCCGTCCCCCACATTCACGACCGCGTTCATTCTCGCGGTGTCTCTCTCTGTCCGGTCACCCTGGATCTCGTTCATCGTTCCTGCTGCGGAGACGCGTTCGCTTCGCACTTTCCGCGGGGATTTCCGCAGTGATTTTCTTCGGGAGCTCGCGCGAGCAATCGCCGCGCGACCACGACAAGCTCGATCGTAGCTTCGCCGATCCGTTCCTCGCCTCGACTCTCGTATCTATGTGGCCTTCGTCGTTTCCTCGTGCCCCCTGCGCCCTCCCCCCTCCGCCCTGTATTGCCTCGCCCTGTACACACTCGTGTACATCTGCACAACAGTCCTCCTTTGTCGTCGTCCGAAGATGCGGTCGTCGTCGACGGGACGTCAACACGGAAGATACCGAGCAGCTCTGAGGGTTTCGGCAAAAAAAAAAGAAAACAAAGTAAAAGAAAGTAGAGAAAAATGCGAGATCGATTCGACCCGATCCCGAGTGTGTCGGGACCGGTGTGTGTCCCCTAGTTCGTGCGCGTTGGCAGAATGCAAATGCGCCGCTCGGTCTCGATCTAACCAAACGGATAGACAAACGCACCACGAAGGACAACCACGGGGCCTCCGCCGCCTCTCTGGTCTCGTTTTCTCGTGTTCTCATGATCGAAAAGCCGCCCGTGAGAGGAAGAGCGCCGCGGGGGTGCGAGGCGACCGCGCGTTCCCGATCGCGTTTAAAAGCCGGGCTCGATCGAGCCGCGCGAATCGCAGAAGGAACATGTGAGCTCTCCGACTCTCCCACGAAAAGTACAAATGACGAACGAAATACGAGTAGAAGTGTGTCGATAGGCGCAACGAGAACCGGAAATGTTCAAACACGCGAGTATCTGAGAAATAAGAAATGTCACGATTTTTAATCCGACGGAGAAAATCGAAGACGAAGATTTCTTTAACTGCAATGTTTTTTCTTCTTCTTCTTTTTGTTTTCTCTATGAAAATATTAACGAGCCGAGAATTAACCGGGGGAGAATTGAAAAGGAAAGGGAGATATTTTGTGCTATTTGGAGAGAATGTCCTCCCCGCCGCGAGACGTGCTCTTTCTGCGAGAAGATCGATTTTACGCGCGCACGGGAACGAACCCTCCTCGCCCCCCGTATATTTCGCTGCGATTGAACGCTAGATTTGGCTGGTTTTTNCCCCCCCCCCCCCCGCACCCTGCTTTTTCGTTTTCTGTTTTGTACTAGGGACCGACGTCCTACGATCCCGCATCATGTCCCGCATCCCGTGTCTCCCGCCCTCATCCCGACGGATATTTTTTTTTTTCGGACGCTCTCAAGCGCTTGTGGAATTCGTAGAGAACGGCGCGGCGGTATCTTTGGCGATCGATTTTAACGGCGCGACATTAATGACACAAAGAACAGATCCTCGCGGTGTCTCAAATTTCCATCTCATCCGATATTCCTGACTTCTCCCCGCCGACGTGTCAGCGGGGATGATCTATCGGCTCTGGCAAAGATACCGCCGCGAGATTGGTTACATTTTAGTTACTTTAGTTTAACCATAAGTTACGTGAGTCTTAAGTCTCAATGTGTGACGCCCCGTTTTATGTTGTATGATTTCTTTCTTGAAGTCTGCTTTTCCGTTTTGTCGTCTTGCCGTTTCTGTTTCGTTGAGCAACAAAAAAGTCAAAAAAAAAAGGGAAAAAAGGGAGAGAGAGAGAGAGAGAGAGAGAGAGCGAAAGAGAGAAAAATAGCAGAAAAAGAGAAGAAGAATGCACACGTGGGTTCAATCTTAACGAAATAGAACGCAGAATTTTCACACGTTTTCGGAAACGACCTCGTCGTCGCTGGTCGCCGTGAATTTTTCATCCGAATAACAGTCGCCTTCCCCGATCGCGTCGGCAATCGCGAATTATTTCTCTGCACCGTTCCTTCCCTGGCACGCAAGAAAAGAGAGGGAAAACAGAGGAGAAAAAAAATACACCGTCATTGTTAATCCGGAAATTCACGAATGTTAAGAATCATCCAGAATCTTGAACTCTTCGAATCTCGTTGGTTTTCGGCTCCCCTCGAGTCTCACAGACTCCGCGGAGTTACGAGCACTTTAGATTTCCGAATCATCGAACATCTCGCACCTTTGCACTCTCAGATGTCTCAATTCGCGGCTCGTTAAATTAAATTCTCGAATCCCGAGAGTGAGAGAGAGAAAGAGAGAGGGAGAGCGAGCGAGACTCTCTCCGCGGCGTGTCTCGCGTTTCTTTTTGCATTTCACGACGTTTCACGAGCGAAAGAGAGAAAGAGAGAGAGAGAGAGAGAGAGAGAGAGAGAGAGAGAGAGAGAGAAAAAAACAGAGAGAAATAGAAAGAGAAAAAAGACGATTTCCTTAGCGTTTAATTAACGATCGCCGAACTGCTCGATTCAAAGTTCACGCGAGCAAGGGAAGGAACGGATGCGACGGCAGGGAGGGAGGGGCGGATAATCAGGCTGGACAAACCGAGAAAGAAATTATAAGAAAAAAAAAAAATGAAAGAAATCGAAAAAAAAACGGGCTTTGTAAGCGGGCTATGGTACGACGATACCAAATAAGACTGATGAGAAGTGTAAACGCAAGGTGTGTGTCTATCGGTTTGGTTTTAGCCCTGAGCAACTGCTCTGAGAGCGGAGGCGAGCCGGACGCAATACTGGATATCCGCCACCACCCAGGAACCGGGATCGACTCGCACCACCAACAGTTTCACACCTCCTATGGTAATATGAAATTCATCATTATAAAATAGTAACTTACACGCGCGGCCGTGAAGAACTCTCACGGTCTCTCTCGTCAGGAGGAAGCTTCTCGCTTTCGCGCGACTCGCAATTCGCTGTTTGCTAACGCTAAGCGCGCGGAGCCCTTTTCAAGTCCTCGCGTCGCGTTTTCTCGCGTCCTTTTCTCCGTCGTAGCACGCGCGCATTTTCTTGCTCTCTTCCCTCCTTTCCGTTATTTATATGTTATCATAGCGCCAAAGCGCACCAAGCTCGCACTCGATCGTACGGACGGACGGACGAACGGGAACGAGCCTCCTCCTCCGTCTTCGACGACGAGGAGGCCAATTCTCGGGAAATCAAGGATCTCGACGTTCGCCGCCCACGTCGGATTAACAGGCCGCCGGTCGTCCGAACGCCCGTCGATCTTCCTTCGCTCATTTCTCTACCACTGTCGTCGACATGCTATTTATCGCCGTTATTATCCTCGCCGACAAGGGGAGGCCGCGCGACACGCGACTCAGCCGATCCGTGCAATTTTAAGCGAGAAGCAGCGCTTTTTAAGCGCCACGGAGGGAAATTTCGCCGCGAAGCTCCCCACGCGATCCTCATACACTCGATGTCGTCAATGAGCGCGCCACGGCTTAACGAGCGAGGGGGGGTTTTTTTTTTCATCTCTCTCCTTCTCGAACCGTTTCATTTTCGTGATGCAACATCTCACTCTTTTGCCTCTTCAAACTCTCTGCACGGTAAAAAAATGTTGCGTTTAAATCTGGCACACTTCGCACACCATTTTCACCAAACGTGGTCCACGCAAATTTTCCTGTTAATTTAACGCGAGGCGAATACGTTGAAATGTAACACAAATATTGAGTCAAAAATTATCATCAAATTAACATTCATAATATATTGATCGGTACTAAAATATAAAATAACACACATGTTGAATATCAAATCAACAGAAAATATTAAGATAAGATAAACACGATATATTAAATATATTAAATTAATATACGGGTTGGCGTTAACAATTTAACAGGGTTGATGTTAAAAATTTAACACGAAAATTTCAATAAGGACCGACTTCGACACAAATAAAAAATGTTTTTCACTGTGCAACTTCATTCCTATTTCATCTTTCTCTAATTATCTCGCAATAATTATGCAGAAAATCATACGCTCTCTCTCTCTCTCTCTCTTTCTCTCTCTCTCTTTGCTTGTCGCGGTTAATTGCGTGATTAACGAGAAAAAAGAGAGAGAGAGAGAGAGAGAGAGAGAGAGAGAGAGAGAGAGAGAGAGAGAGAGACGAGGGAAGAATCGGCGAGTCGCGCGCGTCTCGAATTTCCTCGAGGACGAAGAGCCAAAGACCGGGTTGGAAAAACAACCTTTTACCGCGACGAGAGATACGCGCGAGTTTCTCGCGAATCTCGCGGGCAGAATCCACGGGGGAATAATAAGATTCCTAAATAATTCTCAGACAGCAAATCGGGTCACGAATTTCCGTCATTGAACCGAGCGAAATTAGTAATGACGGCAGCTGTTTCATGAGACTTTAAAGAGCTCTCTCACTCTCTCTCTCTCTCTCTTGGCCCACCGTCGTGTCGAATTAGATTGATAGATTCCGTCAATTCGGATGTCGATTCGCGTTTTTCGATCGTTTAACTTAATGGCGGTACCGTTTAAGCGTGTTTGCGGAATACGTGATTTTATCCACGGTTCGCCGCGAGGAGGGAACCGAGAATACCGTGCCACGTTCGTATCCGCGAACTCTCCCGCATCTCTCACAAGAACACATAGAGAGAGAGAGAGAGAGAGAGAGAGAGACACACACATACAGATATACGGAAAAAAGAATATTGCGCGGCGAGAGTGAGAGAGAGAGAGAGAGAGAGAGAGAGAGAGATTCGGGATACCTTAAATTTACCACCGGCGATTTTCTCGCGCGAAGTCGTATCGGGGACATTTAATTAATTACCCGGGACGAGAAGCGTATTTCGCGCTTGAATTAATTATCGTATCCGACTTACAACGTCGTCGCGAGCGAAGTCGTAAGCCCTCGATAACGCGACGTCCATCATCCGCGGTTAATTTATCATTCTTTTATCCTCTTTGCCGTTTTCCCGGGTGAATTTTTCGCACGGGGAACGTCGCCTCTCGCGCGCTCGCTCACCATCACGTCCGAAACGAACATGAATCCCCCCCCCCCGCCCCATCGCCCGGGCGAGACGACGCAACGCGAGATGAAGAAAGAAAGAGTCGCCGGACTCGCGGCCGAAACGGTCGTCTCCTTGATAACAGACGCGCCGCGAAAGCGAGGGGGTGGCTGGCGGGGGAGTGCGGAAAAGTGGATAATTAAGTAAACGGGAAGAATAGTTTGCCTTATCCAGCGCAATCGAATTAATTAACCGCCCCCCCCCCCTCATACCAATCCGTTCCGATGGATCGTGAATAATGCGCGGTTTCTAACCCAAGAGTCGACGCGCGCGTGCTATTTCGATCGCCTCGGAGGAGCCTCGCGAGCACACGTGAATTTTAAATAAATTTCAGAAAGATCGGCTCGCCCGAATTAATGGGACGCGACTTCCCGATGGATTTTTAAAGCGATCCGCCGCGACTCAATCGCGACGTATTTGCGGAGCCGTTTCGATATGCGTCCCGCGCATCCGCACGCGACGTTTCGATTCGACTAATATTTTCATTCATTTGACTAATCAGAAGGTATATATATATATATATATATATATATAGAGAGAGAGAGAGAGAGAGAGAGAAATGCAGAGGGAGATAGAGTGATAGGGAGGGAAGGAGAGAGGGAGAGAAAGCAGTTTTCGTATCCTAGAAGCGCACTCCGCCGTGAATGTAAAAATGATCTGCCGCTGACTGTCACTTCCTCCCGTGACTTTCGAGGACTCGAGCTGCGCGAATTTGCGAGAACCCGTTGAAATAAAAATCGAGACGAGCCCCGAAATTCGATCTCTCGGGAAGATTATCGGTTCTCCTCTGATCATTCTATCGGGAAGAGAGGAATTCGGAGAACAAGAGACGCCGGCTAATTCCGCGCTCGTATTACGTAAAATATCGTCTTCGTCAAGGAATGATTTTCGAACCCCGGCTTCGCCATTTTGGATATTATTGCTCGCGGAGAGAGTCTGTTCCCGAAGGCACTCGCGAAGGGCGGATTAAGAGCGAGCGCGCGCGCCTACGAGTCCCGATCGGAACTTTCGGAAACAACAGAGATTCACCCGCCGGGACTCGCGCTGATTGGACGCGACCACTGCGTGCGGTAACGGGGACGCTGCTGAAAACTCGAAAAAAGGACAAAGAGGAGAAGGAGGAAAAAAGCGGAAAAAGAGAGAGAGAGAGAGAGAGAAAAAAAAAAGTCACTGGGAAGGGCAGGGGGAGGGAGGGATCGATGCGTCGTCGAAGTCGCGAACGCGAATACGTCGCGGAAGTATCAGTCGACGGAGGTAATCTCGCTACTTGGGCGGCTCATTGAAATCCCACGCTAAATTTCAATCCGACGTGTACAAAAGTCGCAAGCCCTTTTCCTCCCCCTTCGCCCCCATCGTCGTCGTCGCTGTCCTCCCCCTTTTTCTTGATTCTCGACGATTCCGCGAACTGTATCGCAAACGGAAGACTCGAGCTCCAGGCAACGGTCCATTTCCACGATCTTCGTCTTTTCTTCCCCTCTCTCTCTCCTTCCCGTCGTCCCTTCAACGAGGCGCACACGCTCCGGAGGACACGACGAGTGTGTGTACGGCGTGCCCTCCGCCCGAAACCGTCGCCGGCGGAGTCTTGAATAAACTCGCGACCTGAATGTCTAAATTCATCCGCCGGGTCCTTTTAAATGTTTGAATGACGAATAGATCCTCGCCGATATTGCCGGTGTAACGCGGGAATTCGAGGATTCGAGAGTTCGAGAGTGCGGGAAGCCCCAAAGTTTATCGATTTGACGGGGAATGACGTCGAAGTTTTAACGAGGTTTCGCGAGAGCGGGCGAGAGAGAGAGAGAGAGCGCGAATTTCCACGTACATTTTTGTACGTTCGACTGCCTCGAGATCGAGACTTCTAATCGACACGACTCTTGATTTTCATGCTTGATTTTCACGCCGAAGTATACTTCGTTCGCGCGCGCTTCTGTCCCTTGTTCACCGCGCGTTCTCTTATTTCCGCGAAATATTGAAAATTATGAATTTTAAGCACACTTGCGACGCGTTTAAAATTAACATGAAACATAAAAGGGTTGCCTGAAATATCAATTAAAAGGACTGCGGAAAATTTAATTAATATTTCACGTCACTTGCTTTCGCCCCTCTTTCTTAAAATTCCACATTTCTACATCGCTGCATGCCTAAAATCGCGTGTCTTAGTCAACCACTTCGGGGATTGTTAAGATTCAACGCTTCGAGCGTCTCTTAAAACGACTCCCGGCCTCGTAAGATTTCACCGAAATTTGGATCGAAATTCTCAACTCAACGAAATTAATCCCTTAATTTTTGCAACGGCTACGAATGGAGGATAATTTTGGGACACCCTGTATATCTGCTGGTGGCTGGTTCTCCCTCTCTCTACTCGTCTCCCCGAAGTCCTTTTAAGCCTCCCCTCGCCTGCGTCCTTTCCCTCCCCTGCACGGTGCATCCCCAACGTCCGTTTCCCTCGCCAATGCCGAATGCGCCGTGGTATCGGTTTGTATACGCGGATAGCTGGATTCACAGGGCGCACCTAATTAAACTTAGGGAAAGCGGCCGGCAGGTTAGACTTTCAGCGTCCGTGAGCTTTCTTGTGCCTCTCTCCGCCATTCTGTCGCCCCTTCGCGCGGCGCCCCATTAACGCAGCGGCCCTTAAAAGCACCTTCGAAAGGCGCGCCTTTATTTCGCGCGCGCGCGCGTCAAGAGTTTCCACGATCCTCGAAATACTCGGTTTTTCATCGCGCGACACGATCGCCGGACTCCAGGTGAACTGATGAGACGTTAAATCGGTATTAAATTTATCAAGGTATAAATGAC